AGTCTGGAGATGGGGTCGTTTGGCCAAAATTGGGGTTTCGTATGGAATTTATAAGTACTCAGTGATTTCAATATTTTTTTGTTTGTTTGTTTGTAGTACTGGTGTTCTGATATACCCTCACTAGGCTTGAAGTCGGTCTTTTAGCAGTTTTCCTTTAAGTGCAGTGCAATGCGTTGGGTGGGGAAAGTGCTGAAGAAACATTTGGGTTTTATGTGTGTTGTGTTTTTTTTTTTTTTTTTTTTTTTTTTTTTTTTTAAATTTTTTTTAAAAAAAATTCGGTTTATGTGCTACTTGGATAATTATTACAGCAGCCTTAATTGCATGCAAGTTTTAAGAATACTGAAGTAGATTCTTTCCCCTGCCCTTCCTGGCAGCATGCAGGGAACTACTGCTTTTCCATGGACTCTTGAACCTGGTTCTGCTCGTATGTAAAAGCCAAAGTCGGTGACCAGCCAGGCTTTAATGCTGCAGCAGACCTCCCGAGCTGGCTTGGTGGCATAAATTAGTCCCCTGCACTGTTACTCCTCCGGTCTCAGCACTAGGTGTGTGCTTGTCATTAATTAGTACATGTGATGCTGATCTGGTTGCAAATGAACTGCTTGGGTCAAACCGGGGTTGTGTCCGATCCGCTTGAGGGACAGAGGCCAGGGTGCCTGTGCTCTGAACTGTGCAGAGCCTGGCCTGAGTAAGCCTGTATTTGCCTTGGTGGTGTGTGCCTGCACATTGTGGCTGAAGGCATCTCCCAGGGTTTGGGGAAGAGCTGGGGTGCAGAGGTCAGAGCTCCATTGTACTAATGAGGTGTTTAACTTGGTGTGTTGGAAAGGAGAAGAATCCAAAAGGCAGCTTGTGGCTCCTGGTGTGTGGTCTGTGCCTGTCGATGTTGATGGAGCCCTGGGAGACCCAGGCAGGTGAGACAGCTGTGGGGTCAGGCAACGGGGAGACCCAGGACTTGGGGTAGCAGATGGGACAGCCTTCTGTAACAGGGAATGGCTTGTGTTGTCACGGAGGCTTCACTGCATGCAAAGCTCTGCTGATCTCCTGAGGAAAGGAGTAGTCTTTGCAGACTGGCTCGTGTGTACAGGGCTATCAGATCTGCCCCTTACGGACCTGGGGCCAACCTTATTTTCTGATTTTGTGGATTTAGGAAGACAACTGAAGTCCTAGAAGTTCCCTGTCTCCTTCAAGACTTTCTAATGTGGGCATTTGTCTTGGCATAGCAAACAAGCATTTCTCACACTTTATTCTGCTGGGCGGGAGTTGGGGGAATGAAGTCTGCTGGAGGTGTGCCATGGACCTCCTTCATTCTGGCATAGCACGGAGGAAATCCAGCTGTAAATCTTCTCCTCTGTGGAGCCTGTTCTTCTCCACAGCTATGTGAGAACTGGCTGATCTCAGGGCAGAGCCTCAAGGCACCTGGATACAAAAATGATCCTGTCCTCAGCTGGTCCTGATCTTCCAGCAGCTCCTGCATGCTCCATCTCGTTAGCAACTCCCGTGCCTCACTCCTGGGAAAGATTAACCTGCCTGAGCTCTCAGGTTTCCAGGAGAAGACCAGCAACAAGAACAGCTACACCAGTGAGGTAGTGGCACTAATCTACAACACCTTCTTAAATGGCTTCAACTCAGTGAGGCCTGAATCTGTGCCAGGGGTGGGGAGCTGGCTCTTAACATGCTACAGCCTTAGAGCAAGACCTGAAAAAAGGTTTCCATTCCCTGGGGGAATGAATGGTGCTCACACCTGTAATTTAGCAACCCAGTAAATCCCCTGAATTACGTAGATGTAGGATGATGCATGGGTGGAGTTTAACACCATCATCCTTATGGATCCTTTCCATTTTGAGGTATTCTAGCTTTAGTGTGGAGGGATGATCGTGGGACTGACGCCAAGCAGTCCCATTGTGAAGATGAGCACACATATCTTGAGAAAGTCCCATGCTGCTGCTCTTGGTGTGTTGTTTGTATTGTCACTGCTCTTTGGTCACTGGTGATGTCCACTGAGGCTCTAGAGGCTCTCTCATACCCTAAAAGGCAGGACCTGTGTAGGCACAGATCCCCTCTCAGGAGGCTGGGGCGGCAGAAGACCTTCTGAAGCTGGATCTTGGCCTCTTGGCAGCCACGCTGCAAGGCAAGAGCCGTGTTTGCTGTAGCTGGAAAAGTCTCTCTCCCTGTTTGCTGGCACATGAGGTCATCACTCTTCTTGGCAGCAGGCTTGGCTGCTGCTTGCTGAGTGCCTTGCTCTGGTATGTGGGTGTTACTGGGTGTGTGGGAGGGCGGCGGGCGGTGCCCAGGTGCGAGCGTGTTTGCATGGTGAGCACAGGAGGAGGCTTCTCCTGGTCTGGGGAGTTGTGGATGCAGAGGACAGGGACCTTGTATCCTCGGGCTAAGCTGTGCCAGAAGAGCACTGGAAGGAGGAGCTTCCATGTGTATTAGATACAACCTGCTGTCTGCATCCACACTGCAGGTTTCTACTTGCTTTTAGATTTCCTCCACATCCCCATGCTGTCAGGGGTGAACTGGGCTGAGGGTGGACAACTAGGGACCACGTTTAATGTCCCAAGGAGGTCAGCAGTGAGGGAGTTTGAGGGTCCCACAGCAGCATCAAGGTGCTTAGGAGCTTCCATGTGTATTAGATACAACCTGCTGTCTGCATCCACACTGCAGGTTTCTACTTGCTTTTAGATTTCCTCCACATCCCCATGCTGTCAGGGGTGAACTGGGCTGAGGGTGGACAACTAGGGACCACGTTTAATGTCCCAAGGAGGTCAGCAGTGAGGGAGTTTGAGGGTCCCACAGCAGCATCAAGGTGCTTGGTGGCAGCCAGTCCGCAGGCTCTGCAGCCCTGCAGACATGGCTTTTTCCCTCACAGTGTTTTTAATCCTGCCTGTTTTTGCCAGCCATTCTCTCAACTGTCTGCTCTCCTCCATGGTGCTGAGGAACTCGTCTGCAATAAAGGTCCTTGGGCTTAAGCACTCTAGTACTGGACACTGAGGGCTTAGGAAGTAGATGCAAGGTGGTTTCAAGAGGAGACCCGGACAAGGCAATGAAGAAGCATGCAGGGGCAGGCACGTCTGCTGAAATGTCTACCAGTCTGCTCTCCGGAGGTCCTAGCTGTAGTGGGATGCAAAATCTCACGCCTATCTTTCCTGGCATCCATCATGCAGTGATGTGGACAGCTACAACATTTTCTTCCTGCGGCGGGTTGGGTGGGATGACCTATGTAATCCTGCCAAAACCTTGTTTTTTTAAATCTACCTCTTGGATGACATGCTTCTGCCAAGCTCCCCTGATTGCAGACCACTCCTCATCACCCCCATGCTTGGCCAGGAGGATGCTTGTGCTGCAGACCTGGATGGAGGGAGCTGGTGGAATTTGGCTGAACTTTTCCTTCTGGCCTTAATCCTGGTCAGAGGTTGGGTGAAGCAAAGCATAACTTCAGGGATTTTTCCCTTTTCACTGAAGTCACCAGTAAGATTCCTCATCCTTTTCAAAATAAAGTTTGCGGAATTTTTACCACTTCTGCTTACTCAAAGATCTCTTGTGGGAAGGCCTCTAAAGAGTGGAGAAAATCCCTGGCCATGCTGCAGTGTGGAGCAAAGCTGCTTGGTGTGTGTGAGGTTTGTCCGTCCTGAGCTGTGGCAGCAGTGAAATCAGGCATTGCTCCAGAGCACAGTGATGCTGAGCATGGTGTGGGCACTGGTGGCCCAGGGGTGGTTGGTGGACACAGACACCTCGGGACAAGAGCAGAGACATGGAGACAGGGCTCATTGTCAGCAGGGCAGGAAGGGGAGGTTTGCATTGCCTGGGGTTGTTCCTGGGCCATCAGGGTGGGTTTACAGCTTCGTAGCTGGTGCCCTCACCTCTAAGCATCACTCGAGATGTTTCTCTCCTCTCCCCAGTCTGCGAGTGCAACGGGATGTCCAGACAGTGCGTCTTCGACTGGCACCTCCTGAGAGAGACGGGCAACGGGTTCCGCTGCGTCGGCTGCCAGGGCAACACAGAGGGCGCCCGCTGCGAGCGCTGCAAGCCCGGCTTCTTCCGACAGCGGGGCGGGGACTGCTGCCTGCCCTGCCACTGCCACCCCCGCGGTACGTGGCCACCTGCTGGGAGGGGGCTGCCTGCGCCCGGGGCAGGGGGGCTTCAAGGGCCTGCACACATAGACTCATGGAACTGTCCTGCTTGGAAGAGACCTCTGAGTCCATCGAATCCAGCCATTAACCCAGCACTGCCAGGGCACCACTAAACCATGTCCCTCAGCACCACACCCACAGAGCTTTTCAATAATCCCTGTGCTGGGATGGCGAGCGGGGGACCAAGCTGTGGGAGAGGTTGCTGCTCTGCTGGTGCTGTGGTGCTTTCCTCCCCTGTTCTGTGAGCAGCATGGCTGGGAGGGCGTGGGGAGGTCCCCATCCAGACCTCTCCTTCCCCTCTCCCCCCAGGCTCCCTCAGCCCGCAGTGTGACAGTGAGGGGCGGTGCAGCTGCAAGCCTGGCGTGATGGGCAAGAGGTGTGACCAGTGCCAGCCGGGCTTCGAGTCCCTCTCCGAGGTCGGGTGCCGGAGGAGCGGGCGGTAAGTGCTGGTGACTGTTGGTGGCATGGGGAACACCTGGAGGGCCACCCTCCAGAGCCCTCCCAACCACTGTGGAGCCCATGCTGGCTAAAAACTCCTCATGCAAGGGCAGAGGTAGTTTGTGTCATGGGAGCACACCGGTAGCCTTAAGCTGATGTCAGTAGGAGAAAGCAGGCTGAGATGGGTTTGGACCTTCATTCCAGCCTGCAAAGCTCCCCGTCATGCAATCATGTCAAAATCTGAGTTTAAACACACTCTGAGGTGGTTGCTTTATTACCCATATAACACCAAAATGGCAAGAACCAAAATGGCTGATATAAAATAAAACTCCTTCACATGTGGGTCTGCCTGATGTCAGTGCCATTCTCAAGGACTGCCTCTGTACAAAGACGTGCATGTAAAAATCAACTCCTTTTGCACATAAAAATCAACTCCTTTTGCATGAAGCCCACTTCAAACACCTTTTGATGTGTTTCTAGCTTGGGCTTCCTCAGTACAGTGTCCTCTTATTCCTTGCTTCATAGAATCAGATAATCATCTAGGTTAGAAAAGACCTTTAAGATTATCAAGTCCAACCATTAACCCAGCACTGCTGGGTCACCACTAAACCATGTCCCTCAGCAGCACGTCTACACGGCTTTTCAATCCTTCCAGGGGTGGGGACTCCCCCCTTCCCGGGCCGGCCTGGTCCAGGGCTTGACAACCCTTTTGGGGAAGCCATTTTTGCTAATATTCAACCTAAGCCTCCCCTGGCACAACTTTGAACTGTTTTCTCTTGTCCTATTGCTTGTTCCTTGAGAGAAGAGACCGACCTCCACCTCACTACAACCTCCTTTCATGGAGTTGTTGAGAGCAACAAGGTCTCAATACAAGACGTGTGCTCTAGACCCTTCACCAGCTTTGTTGCCCTTCTCTGGACATGTTCCAGCACCTCTGTGTCCTTCTTGGAGTGAGTGGTCCAAAACTGAACCCAGTATTTGAGATGAAGCTTTCCTTGAGAGAAGAGACCGACCTCCACCTCACTACAACCTCCTTTCATGGAGTTGTTGAGAGCAACAAGGTCTCAATACAAGACGTGTGCTCTAGACCCTTCACCAGCTTTGTTGCCCTTCTCTGGACATGTTCCAGCACCTCTGTGTCCTTCTTGGAGTGAGTGGTCCAAAACTGAACCCAGTATTTGAGATGAAGCTTCGTCAGTGCTGAGTACAGGAGCACAATCCCTGCCCTAGTCCTGCTGGCCATGATGTTGCTGACACAAGCTGCAATGCTGTTGACCTTCACCCCACTGTTGCTCGGGGGCAAGGGGTGGCTTCCTATAGCCACGCCTGGCCTCCTGCCCGAGCCTCCCTGGGGTGTTGCTGCCTTTTGGAGCTCAGCCAGGGTCTATTAAACCCAGCCGGGGTTTGTTAAACTCAGCACAGCTTCACTTTGCTCCTGTAGGTGTGTCTGGTCTTCTAGGGTGTCCTGGGAGGCAGTGATGGGCTCCGCCTCAGCCTCACACCCATACCCCTGCAGCTGGATTGCTTCCACAGAAGTCTCTGCTGATTATTTTATCATAGAATGTCTGGGCTGGAAGGGACCTCCAAAAGTCATTTAGCCCAACCACCCTGCCACAAGCAGGGACATCTCCAACTAGATCAAGATACTCAGAGCTTCATCTAGCCTGATCTTGAATGTCTCCAGAGATGGGGCCTCCACCACCTGTCTGGGCAAATTATTCAAGGGATCTATCTCCCTCATACTGAAGAACTTTTTCCTAATATCTAACCTGAATCTACCCTTTTCTAGCTTAAACCCTTTACCCCTCATCCTGTCACTACAGACCCTTGTGAATAGTCCCTCCCCTGCTTTCTTGTAGGCCCCTTTCAGGTTCTGGAAGGTTACTGTAAGGACCTATAGGGTCCTTATGCCCCTGGTGGCATGGGGCCGGTGGCTGGGGGGACTCTCCGTGGCCTCTCTAAGAGCTGGGGGCGCTGGGGCTGAGCTGGAACTGCAGGTAGAGGTTCCACCTGTGCCGTTGCAGGAGCCCGCGGTGCGAGTGCGACCCGGCTGGCAGCACCCAGGGCTGTGTCTCTGGCCACTGCGTCTGCAAGGCGAGCACCACCGGAGAGCGGTGCGAGAGGTGGGTGTCACGAGGACCTGCCAGATGGCTGCCTGGCACGTCCTCCATCTCCCTGGCTGTTGCATCCCCGGCAGCTGCACATGCCCATCCTGCCATGCCAGCCTGGTGATGGCCTTGAACCGTGGCTGTGTTGCACGGCTGTTGTTAGAGGGGTGGTTCTTTCCGTCAGGAAGAGGAGAAAAGGGACATGAACGTTGTCATCTTCTTGTGTTTTCCCAGGTGTAAGCAAAACTTCTATAACTTGGATGCCAGAAACCCTGCGGGATGCTCCCCCTGCTTCTGCTACGGGCACTCAGCTGTGTGCGTCAGTGCGGACAACCACAGCATCTACAACATAACCTCGACCTTCCAGCAAGGTGAAGCCCAAGCAGGACAGCCCTATGACTCCTAGGGGTGTTTGCCATCCCTTCTCTTTGACTGCTCCAAGAGCCACCTGGCTCACAGCCCTCCTGGGAGTCCCTGTGCTTTGATGGGTGGGTTGGCTTGATCATAGGCACAAGTAGGGTGCAGGGGTTGGGGGAGCCCAGGCTTGCTTCATCGTGTCTTTCCTGCCACACTGGAGGAAACCTCTATGCCCAGCCTGGGTTATTCACAGCTATATTGGCACAGCAAGATCTGTGCTGCCCCCTCAGATGTCAAGGGCTAGGAAGCTGGAGGGGTTTGATAAGAAACAGCTTGAAAAAGTTGCTGGAGTCTGGGAAACACTTTCTCTGTTCTTGCTGACTGCTCCTTGTTGGTGCTTCAGGTGCTGAAGGCTGGCGAGGTGTCCATGCAAGTGGTTCCCCAGCCCATTTCCAGTGGTCCCCACGCCATCAGGATGCCTTCATAGCAGCGAGGAGATCGGAGCCAATATACTTTGTGGCGCCTGGTAGGTGTGGGATTAGTGAGAGGAAGATGTGACTGTGTCCCCTCCGCGTGGTCTGGTCCTCTGAGCCAAGCCTTTAGAAGAAAGGTGAGATTTTAAGCATTTAACTTTCTCCCTTCCTTCCCTTCACAGCTAAATTCCTCGGGAACCAGCAACTGAGCTACGGCCAGACGCTCTCCTTCGATTACCGCCTGGATCGAGGGGGCCGCCAGCCATCTCCTCATGACGTGGTCCTGGAAGGAGATGGCCTGAGAGTCACTGCCCCCTTCTTGGCCCAGGGGAAGGTCCTGCCCTGTGGTGTCAGCCAGACGTACACGTTCAGGTAAAGAGGGATGCTGGGGTGTTTTGGACAGGGTGAGCCAGAAAGACTGTGGCTTTAAGGAGCTCCTGGATTCAGCTGTGATCCTTTGGAGGTGGCAAAAGTTTGCCTGGTATGGGCTGGGTGCATCTCAGGTGCTTCTCTCTTGAATGAGGTTACCTTGAGAGTGGAGTAGAAAATCTGCCTTGAAGTTGGGCTGGGTACTTTGTTGGGGGTTAGTCGCATGGTTGGAGGTTTTCCCCCAAAGCCTTCAGCCTCAAGAGAGAGATGGGCGAGAGCTGCCACAATTTCTTGATGAGGCAGCTCATTTTCTGGAAACCCATTCCACTTCTCCTCCCTCCCACGGGCAGGTTGGATGAGCACCCAAGCAGCAAGTGGAGCCCGAGGCTGAATCATTTTGAATATCGCAGGCTGCTGGGAAACCTGACAGCTCTCTGGATCCGAGCCACCTTTGGGGAGTACAGTAAGTGGGGGGAGAGCCTGCAAGCACAAGCTTGGCTTCTCCTCATTGCTGGAGATGCCAAGTCTCCAGATGGAGACACCTTTGCTTAAAAGGTATTTAAAAATGATAATTTTAAAAAATGCCCTAAGATGGGCAAAATTAAATTATGAAGAGATTGAGCAGAATAACAACAGTGGGGACAGCAAAGCCTTGGCTGTGGCCCATCTGTAATGAAGCACGTGACCTGTGCAGGTCCTGGCCATGAGGGTCGTGTGGGCGGAGCTGCTGGTCCCCAGGAGTGACCGGCTGTATCTCCCTGCAGGCACCGGCTACATCGACAACGTCACCCTGGTGTCGGCGCAGCCCATGGCCGGAGTCCCTGCCCCCTGGGTGGAACACTGCGAGTGCCCGGTGGGCTACCAGGGCCAGTTCTGCGAGAGGTGTGCCCCTGGCTACCGCAGGGATGTCCCGGGCACGGGGCCCTTCAGCGTCTGCGTGCTGTGCAATTGCCAGGGGGGAGGAATTTGTGATCCTGACACCGGTAAGAGAAGTCACCTCCGCGTTGTGCTTGTAGGATGCAAGGGATCGCAGGGCAGCTGCCTGTGTCCCAGGATCTGAGATATGTGGGGGGATGGGGGGCACAGACAGGGGGGACATCACTGATTTAAGGTGCTGGAGTGTGAGGGAACATCATGCACACAAAACCTCCCAGAGCTTAGAAGCACTGCGGTCAGAAATACAGGTAAGGTGCATTCGGATTCGATTTTGTTTTAGATAATGCTCATTGGAGAAAGAAAAAGCATCTTGTACTGCCTGGATAGCATTAAAAACTTTTCTTCTGACTTTTTAAGTGTGGTAAGCCAGTCAGGTTGGACAGGGCTCTGAGCAACCTGCTCTGGTTGAGGATGTCCCTGCTCGCTGCAGGGGAGTTGGACTAGGTGAACTTTAAAGGTCCCTTCCAACCCAAAATATGCTATGATTCTAAGTGGTGTGAGTAGATAATCAGCAACATGAGCACATTTTGTTGCCTCTCCTATTAAAATAGCCCACAGTGTTGGCGTGTGATGGCAAAGTAATACAAAGTTATGCTGTCAGTATTTCCCAAGTCTGAACTGGAATTTACATATCTCTGAGCATTGAACAGAAGGCACAAAAGGGAATATGTGGCTCCCCTGGATCTGTGAAAAATGAGGTAGAGTCACCTTTGGGTAGTAATGGCCAACCTTCCTGCCCTGGGATGGGCTCCCAGTGGGGTCTCACTGTTGCAGGACCAGAGCATAGAATCATTTTGGTTGGAAGAGACCTTTAAGATCATCAAGTCCAACCATTAACCCAGCACTGCTGGGTCATCACTAAGCCATGTCCCTCAGCACCACAACTACACGGCTTTTCAGAGCCTCCAGGGATGGGGACTCCACCACTGCCCTGGGCAGCCTGGGCCAGAGCTTGACAGCCGTTTTGGGGAAGAAATTTTGCCTCCTATCCAACCTAGATATCCCCTGGTGCAACCTGAGGCCACGTCCTTTTGCCTTGTTACTCGGTCCTTCTCATGTGGTGAATGGTTGATGGGCAGAGAAACAGAGCACGTTTAGGCAGGCGTGGGGATCTCAGGGGGTCTGGTGGAGGATGCTGGGCCACAGGTACTTGTGCTGCAGCAAGTGGCATGGCCATCAGCAAAAGGTGGAGAGAAGATGGACTGGTGGAGGATATCCCAGAGGGGATGAAAGGGAACTGCCCTAAGCCCTTTTCTTCCTCCTTCAGGTGAATGCTACTCAGGAGATGAAAATGTGGGCAACAGTTTCAGCTGCCCCTTTGGCTTCTACCGAGACCCCCGACAACCTCACGACTGCAGAGCCTGTCCCTGCAGCAATGGCCAAGGCTGCACTGTGGTGCCGGGTGGCGAGGAAGTCATCTGTGACCATTGCCCTCCTGGAGCTGCTGGTAACGCCCTTCTCCAGGCTGCTTCTGCTCTGCCTTTCTCCAGAGCTTTTACCTGCTGTAGAGGGAGATACAGATGTTGGTGGGCTGAGATGCTTACAGCCAGGCAGATCATCCCTTCTTCTCAGCCTGGCTTGACGACAGCACTGCTGCTCCTGCCTGTAATGGGGTGTTTCAGCCCCAAGGGCTGTGTAAACAGGCTTCGCCCTGCCCCAGGAAAGGTTCTCATCTAAACAGACAGTGTGGATGGAAAAAGGATGGGTGGAGAGGGAGTGGCATAGAAAAACAGGAAAAAAAAAATCCCCAGCTAATAGGGAACGGCTTGCCTGAGGTCAGTTGTTGTACCCAGCTTTCCAGAGCCTGCCTGGTGTGTTGTGCACTGACCATGGCAGCAAGGACAGGGGAGATGCTGTTGTACCAACCCCGATAGGGCTGAATGTCCCTGCTTTGGTGAGGCAGAGGCAACGAGGCAGCTTCTGCCTTCCAGGCAAGAGCACAACCTTCTCCTCATCTCTTTTCCCAGGGGCCAACTGCGAGTACTGTGCCGATGGCTATTTTGGAGACCCAGCAGCTGCCCGGCCCTGCCAGCCGTGCCAGTGCAACGGCAACGTGGAGCCCAACGCCGTGGGCAACTGCGACCGCCTGACGGGCGAGTGCCTCAAGTGCATCTACAACACCGCCGGCTTCTACTGCGACCGCTGCAAGGACGGCTTCTTCGGGAACCCCCTGGCCCCCGACCCCGCCGACAAGTGCCGAGGTGGGAGCTGGGCACTGTATGAGCTGGGCACGGGTGAGGAACTCCACGCTGGAGTGCATGGGAGGGGGGATGCGGCAGCAGTCGAGGCTGGAAAGCAGCCGAGGTGGAGAGTGAGAAGCAGAGCTCAGGGAAAAGTGGTGGGAGGATAGCAGGGGGAGAGGCTGGATGGAAGGATGTGCTGAGACTTGAGGTGAGGACAGGCTCCTTTGAACTTGTGCCGATTCAACCTACAGCCTGTGCCTGCAACTCGGCTGGCTCTGAGCCTCTGAAGTGTGCGAGTGATGGGAGCTGCATCTGCAAGCCTGGCTTCGAGGGTCCAAACTGTGAAGAGAGTGAGTGTCCAGCTTGCTACGACCAGGTGAAAGCCCAGGTGAGCACCTATGCTAGCCCTGGGGCCACTGAGTGAATGGAAAGGGGTTCAGCGATACACTTACCCACAAGCATCAGAACTGGTGTGGCCAGCAGGACTAGGGCAGAGTTCGTCCCCCTGTACTCAGCCCTGGTGAGGCTGCACCTCAAACAGGAAATGGCCTCAAGTTGCACCAGGGGAGATTTAGGTCAGAGATGTGGAGAAATGTCTTCCCCAACAGAGCTGGCAAACCCTGGACCAGGTTGGACAGGCAAGTGGTGGAGTCCCCACCCCTGGAGGGATTGAAAAGCTGTTTAGATGTGGTGCTGAGGGACATGGTTTAGTGGTGCCCTGGCAGTGCTGGGTTAACAGTTGGGCTTGATGACATTAAAGGCCTTTTCCAACCAAAACAATTCTATGATTTTATGATCTTCTACTGGTCTCCTCAAGCCTCTACTCCTTGTGCATGTGAGAAGTGATTTTGGAGGCTGTGCCTCAACTTCGGGTTCATATCCATTTCATCCGATAAAACCCAATGACCTAAAGCTGCTCGCTTGCTGCGCCCCATACAAAAATAAGTCCTCACTTTGCACTCCATCCTCTGGCTAGACTGTGGACATGGTTCCTAACCTGGTCATTCCACTGTGGGTTTGGCATGTCACTGTTTGATGGCCTGGTCTGCTGTGGTTGCAGGTGGACCTGTACCTGCAGCAGCTGGCAGAGCTGGAGCTGCTGTTCTCAGACGTGCAAGCTGGCGGTGGGGCCGAAAGCCAGGAGCTGGAGGGAAGGATGCAGCTGGCCGAGGAGATGCTGAGGACCATCCTTGGAGAAGCCCTGAGCTTGCAAGGTACCGCCCTCCCACTGCCCTCATATGAGGACATCTCTGCTGTATGAGGGGAGGGTTTTGCCGCCTGCGACTTTCTGCTCAGAGATGATTTTCTCTTCAGCCTTCCTTTTTCCTTCCCACCAGCCTCTGACAGGTCTCTGGAAAGCCGTGTGGCCAGGATGAAGGGGCAAGGGTCCAGCTCCCAGAGCCTCTTGGATGAGATCAAGGCGACGGTGGGGCGGCTGAGGTCTCTTGGGAGCCAGTATGAGGGGCAGGTGCGGGAGACCCGGAAGCTGCTGGAGAGAGCCAGGCTGGACCTGGATCACAGCGGAGCTGCTCTGCGCTGGGTGGTAAGAGCATCCTTGTGTGACGCACTCCTAGCCCCCCCCAGGGCTGGAAAAAATCCACAGAGAAAGCAAGAATTTAACATATTGCAGTTATTATGTTTGTTTTGTGAGTGCAGATGTTCTGGTGGTTCTTTCTGTAGGGATGGGACTTGGAGAGGTGCTGGCAGGGGTCATTGGCGAGGCAGAGGAGGTTTTACGTGCTGTGGTTGCTTCTCTCACTGCTGAATCAGATGAAGGGATTGGAAGAGCACTCACACCTCTCTTCCTCCCTCCTCAGACCATTCCTGTTTCAAAACTTCCTGGCGGTTCGAATCAGTTCTTGATGCTGGCCCAGGAGGCTCTGAGACTGGCCAACAGGTGAGTTGATTGCTCCATAGCCTGAGAGAGGGACTGAGAATCCTGCTGGGTACCCAAATGTCCTTTCTGGGAGTCCTTACACTAGCCACCAGGCTGCAGCTGCCACAACCACTGTGCCAGCCCTGGGGCAGGAGAAGATATGGCTGCTGGGCTGGCTTCGCTGCCCTACAGAGCTGTCATTGTTGCCTTTGAGAGTGATGTTTGATATGTTTTAGAAGCATGCTTAGGGTCAGAGTTTGGCAAGTGGGTGTCCAGTTGGAACAGGCAGCACCTGCTTCAACCTTAGTGTTCTTCTGCCCTTGGGAGATGCAGGATGGACACAAAATATGGGTCCCCTTCTCCAAGATACTGCAGTTCCTGAGAGACTGTGATCCGAGTCCTCCACCTGAGTCACAACAGTGCCCTGAAGTGCTCCAGGCTTGGGGACAAGTGGTTGGAAAGTTGCCTGGAGGAAAAGGACCTGGAGGTGCTGGTTAGCAGCCAGCATGTGCCCACATGGCCAAGAAAGCCAACAGCATCCTGGCTTGTATCAGCACTAGTGTGGCCAGCAGGACTAGGGCAGGGATCATCCCCCTGTACTCAGCACTGGTGAGGCTTCACCTTGAATCCTGGGTTCAGTTTTGGGCCCCTCACTCCAAGAAGGACATTGAGGGGATGGAGTGTGTCCAGAGAAGGGCAACGAAGCTGGTGAAGGGTCCAGAGCACAAGTCTTGAGGAGCAGCTGAGGAAACTGGGGTTGTTGAGCCTGGAGTAAAGGCGGCTCAGGAGAGACCTTAGCACTCTTGATAGCCTCCCTGACAGAAGGCTGGAGTGAGGTGAGGGTTGGTCTCCTCCCAAGGAACAAATGATAGGGCCTCCAAGTTGCACCAGTGGAGGTTTAGGTCAGACATGAGGAAAAATGTCTTCGCAAAAGGGTGCTCAAGCCCTAGATCAGGCTGGCCAGGACAGCGGTGGAGTCCACATCCCTCTGGAGGGATGGTTTAGTGGTGTCCTGGCAGTGCTGGGTTAACAGTTGGGCCTGATCTTAAAGGTCTCTTCCAACCAAAACAATTCTATGATTCTATTCTGTGATTCTATGATCCAGAATCAGCGGATACAGGTTGGGTGGAAAACCTTTCTCACCCTGCCCTCTGTGCCCTACAGCCACGCGCAAGCTGCCAGCAGTGTGGACCAAGGCGCGAGGGCGGCAGAGGAGGACGCGCGGCGGGCGCTGGAGCT